TATTGAGACTTCGTTCTAGGATCCGGTAACCACTTAGCACCAGGTAGGTCGTGAGCTCATGTGAACAGATGAGACCTTCTATTTCATATTCTCCTGTCCTTCATGCTCTAGACAAGGTTTATTTTCAGCTACGTTCGATGAAGCTAATATAACCCCTTAAGGTTACTAGTAGTAGGAAGGCAAAAAAAAAATGTTTGTCTCTCATCGTTCAACTAACCGACATCTTTGATCACTTTTCCGTTTTCGAATCATTACTATTTATCATTACTTTCATTACATTAATTACTACATTTATTAGATATTATTACATTATTATCATTACTATTAAATTTGAAACGAATAAAACGAAAAATCTGATCAAAAATCACAGAACGAAAAAACGCTAAAGAGAAAAATAAACGTGTCAAGTTCAAATTTATTGTTTCTTTGTTGAAACATGGTGTAAACATGGCCGCCGGTCGCTACTAGGCTTATTAGTATTTTTCATGTCCAAAAAATTAGAGCAAAAAATTTTATTGTTCAAAATAAACAAACTTATTTTGTTTTTGGCTAGATTTTAATTACTTATATTTGCATTGTTTGTTTTAATGTTTATTGAGATTAATTGAATTGTGTGTTTTCATTTCTGTATTTAATTCGAAATAGAAATAGAATTGGACTGGGCTTTAAGGTAAATATTTATTCATAGTAAAATGTAAATCATACAACAGAACTAGAAACAGATAAAAGAAAAGTAACACAAAAAGAAGAAACAGAAAATATCCCTACCTATGGCATGTTTGCAATACACTTTATTCCCTACCTATTCGCAGGTAGTCTTAGGGCTATTTTAGCTACACGCGGATAGGTAGGTAAACTTACAGGTCTAATCTGAGAGAGAATTTGCTAATATTATGGCAAGAGCAGTGCTGCGCAAAATCTAGCAACGGATCGGAATCACTAACCACTGAGAAGGTCCGGCGAGAAACTCAGTGGCTTGTGTCTATGGATTAGTTAGTACGTCAAACTCTTTCAGAAACCGGATGGATTGGATGACCTGGAGAGCAATTGATATACTAGTGGGGATTAACTCAAGGAGAGTTGACGTTGGACTGGTGGATGGCCGTAAAACTCCTGCACCATGCATACCTAGATAAAGGCGAGACGACGAAAGTAATAGCCCTAACGATTGAGTGATAACGATTGCAATCTAATCCTTTAAAGCAGCGCTAATAATTATTGTTTTCTGCTACATAAAAATTGACTGCACCATATGCCTATAAATAAAAAAAACCATTATCAAAAACCTTTCACACCCAACAGGGGCGGTATGCGTTCAATTATAACAAAGCTATTTCCTTGAACATCTAAACTTGATCTGACAATAGGTGGCAGGAACAAAAGGTGCTGAAGTGAAATATTGGGTGGGCCTTTTGTCCGACACCAGTGATTTATCGGTCCTTAGATTCGTTTTCAAGATAGATGTTAATGTGAAATTTACCTTATCTATAGTAAGTGGGTGTGAATTAAGGAATGTGTACAAAATAAAGAAGTCTACATTAGATGAGGGTACACTAATAATATAAACTTTCGGCGCTGTCAATCGATTCTAGACCCTGTATATATATATTGTGTGCGTATCATTTGTTTTAGGTAAATCAACAGAGATCCTGTCATCAAACATTCTTAGCTACTCACTTAATTCTTAGTGACTATTTGTGACCTTGCTCGTTCACGAAGCCCGCTATAAAAATCAAAGTATTATATACACTTGACATTGGCGAAATCTAAAAGGAAACGCTTTAAACCTAAGAGATAGATAGATATGTACAGTACCTATTGATAAAAATTGCATATCGACCTTTGCTATGAGACAATTGGCTAATTTCGCCTTCATAGAGCCTTGTCAATATCGCACGAACCACTCACAGCTCTGCTGTGCTTGAACAGCGACCGAAAAGTTCACATCGGTAGTGTGCGACAGAAATAACGCTCTATGTGGCCGAAATTAGACGATTATCTCTTTCCGAAGGTCGATGTTCAATCGAACCGACTAAAACCTCCTGTCGCTCAACAACCCACGTCCTAGCCTCGCATGAGACAGAACTCATGAAAAGGCAAAGGGGGGATAGTGAAGCGTTTAGTGCGGAGCACATCTCTCCCATCACCCTCCCCCTCGGGATGCCGGGCCAGCGATCGTCAGCGCTACGACCACCAGCCCTCGCAGTCGGCAGGCTGTCGGAAGCCCGCTTAGATGGCGCCGGTTTGAATGGGTTATCCTACGAAATACCCCGCTGGGTCAGAACCAGCGTCCCCAGACCGACATATGAGGGGGACCCGAAGCACTTAGAGGGCCAGGGCTTGGGCGAGATCCGCCTCCCTGGCCCACGCTCGACGGCGGCGGGGCGCGTCAAAGACGCACAATCCCTACTCGGCGACAACGAGTCGTTTCCTATTCTTGCGACGAGGACACGGCGTCACCCCTCCCATGTGGGGTAGGCAACGAGCGTGTGCTTCGCCGTGTCCAAGTCGCAACCACAATGGTGGCACTCTGCCGTCGGCTCGGCTCCGATCCGGTGCCGGAACTCACCGAAGCAACCATGCCCAGTGAGCACCCGCGTTAGCCGGAAAGTGAGGCGTCCTCTGTCAAAGAACAATGGCAGCTTAAAAAGTATTTCAATTCATCGGGTTTGCCTTTTTGTTTTCGAGAGCAGAACATCCGAAATTTTAATCGGTTCATATTATATTCTTCATTTCTATCATAAATTACAGTAGTATTTCTTGTTATCTATGTAATTATAACCCTCGGGAATAGACAATTAAATATTTTTTATTTATCATTTTTATGGGTGGACGAGCTCACAGCCCACCTGGTGTTATGTGGTTACTGGAGCCCATAAACATCTACAACGTAAATGCGCCACCCACCTTTAGATATAAGTTCTAAGGTCTCAGTATTGCTACAACGGCTGCCCCGTCCTTCAAACCGAAACGCATTACTGCTTCACGGCAGAAATAGGCAGGGTAGTGGTACCTACCCTTTGTTCCTTTGGTAGATATATGTAGCAATTTTCAAATTGACGCGAGCGAAATTTAAGGGCGAACCTTCTTAAAAAGCAAATGATTATGTTCTAAATATAAAAGATTTTTTTCTTGTTAGGTTATGATGACATACTTTGTATTTAAATCCCGTGTCGTATTCAAAGTCACGAACTGTTTTCCCCAAATTCTTGAATAAATAACATTTGTATCCCTTGGCCTATGGATCCACTACTACTTGTCTTCGGTTTTGAATCAAATCGAATTTAAAAATATATTTTTTTACGGCAAACACCATATATTTTATATACATATATGTATGTCGGAGACGGTCATTAGTTTGGTAGCTAAACGAAACACAGCACGATTCTCGTGAGGTGGCAGCACGACCGCGGTATCGTCGGAGCTCGGCTAACTTCGTGCTACGACAGAGCCTAGCCGATGGAGGCTCATAACCTCATTACACACTAACCAACCAGCCTATTTGAAGTGCGGTGCCTCCGTTCTAAGAACTGTTGTCGATGTCGTCCAAAACACGTAATTACGGATCCTCCTGATCCATTAACAGTGCTTTTAGGTAATACAAGCACTGGTTACCGTCCTCGTCGGTCCCGTCACTTGTGACGAAGGGCTCGACGAGTTAATTAACCCATAGACACAGCCCATTGAGTTTCTCGCCGAATCTTCTTAGTGGGTCGCGTTTCAGATTCTGCGAAGCAAGGGCCAGTGTTAGCAACACTTCCGGTTAGAGCCCCGTGTGCTCACCTAATGTGACGGAGAAACTAAATTAACCTCTCAAGGCTATCAGCACTACATAAAAAAAATATCATTCGTTTTCGTTTGCTAACGTCAGGAGAAGATTTCTAAATTGTCCTAAGACAACAAATGATTGGTGTACTCAATATTTCTCTTAGCTCGATCACCCTATTCGCCCCTATGATGTCTGACGATGGTGTTAATAATTGTGGTTTTTCCGACATGTATATAAAATAGGTGATATTGAGCGCGCATAGGTAGCGTTTTGGTTTGCAGGGTTTAATAACCTTGGTGCCGGCTGCGGCACGCCCCCAGCCCGCCCCAGCGGCTGCTGCTCCCCATCAAAAGGGTCGAGTGGCAGCTCAAGGAAAAAACAAGAGGCGTCGAAACGGCAAACCGCGTGCTCCACGGTCAGCGGCAGTGGTCTTGGAGCTACTGCCGGCTGCAAAGGAAAAGGGCATTACCTATATGGAGGTAATGAGCCGAGCGCGTGGTGCCGTTGATGTCGACGCCATAGGCGTGGAGGGCGGGCTCAAGGTTCGGCACACCGCTAATGGGGCCCGGCTACTAGAATGTCCAGGCGCCCAATCTGGTGCAGCCGCGGACAGACTGGTGGCGCGGCTCCGGGAGATTTTGCCGGACCCAGAGATAGTGCGCATCGAACGCCCCGTCAAAATGGCGGAAGTCAAATTGACGGGCCTCGATGAATGCGCGACCCAGGACGAAGTGGCCGCCGCCATTGCATCACAGGGGAACTGTGCCCTGGCCCACGTTAAGGTGGGGGAACTCCGGAGCACTTACTCCGGAGCCCGCACCGCATGGGCGCGGTGCCCCGTGCAGGCGGCCATTCTCCTAGCCACACCTCCAAGTGGGAAGCCTGCCAACACGCCTGGAAGGCTGCGCGTAGGCTGGATCATGGCTCAGGTGCAACTACAGGAGGCAAGACCTTGGCGATGCCTCCGGTGCTTCGGTACTGGGCATGGCCTCGCTAAATGCCCGTCGACTGTCGACCGCAGCGGATTATGTTTCCGTTGCGGTCAGTCCGGACACGAGGCTGCCACCTGCACCGCCGTTCCACACTGTGTACTCTGTGATGCGGCGAAGCGGCAGGCCGACCACCGGGCAGGGGGGCCAGCATGTCGTTCAGCCCCCTCCTCAACGAAGAGGAGGAGAGGTGAAAAAAATAAAAGAAAAAAAGGTGCAGAGGAGGTGCTAGCTGCAAATGGAGTAGCAGGCGAGCTAGTTCCCGCCGCGGCTGTCGAGCCGGAGGGCGGGACGGATGAAGGAGCGATGGACGTAACCCCTCAATAATGGGGCACGTCCATCGCTTCCTCCAGGCCAATCTGAACCACTCCGCCAGGGCGCAGGATCTCCTCGTCCACACAATGGCGGAGTGGTCAATTGATGTCGCTGTCGCCGCGGAGCCGTACTTCGTCCCTGCTGATCAGGATTCCTGGATCGGGGACATCGACGGCTCCGTGGCAATCATAATCAGACAGGCTGCGGCGTTACCCCCCCTGGTGATGGTGGCTAGGGGATCCGGTTACGTCGCGGCCAGGGTCGATGAAACCGTCGTGATCGGGGTGTACTTCTCTCCGAACAGACATCTCGCTGAGTTCGAGCGGTTCTTGGGCGGGCTCGAGGCGTTGGTTAATCGCCTCGGGTCTCGCCCGGTGATTCTAGCGGGAGACCTCAATGCCAAATGGGTAGCTTGGGGTTCCCCCCGCCCGAACTCGCGCGGCAGGATGCTCTCGGAGTGGGCGATCGCGGCCGGTCTCTGCCTCTTGAACAGGGGTTCGGTCGCGACTTGCGTGCGATGGAACGGCGAATCTCACGTGGATGTGACTATCGCATCTCCTTCCATCGCACGCCGCACCCGTGGCTGGCGTGTTCTTGAGGGGGCGGAGACGCTTTCGGACCATCGATACGTCCGATTTGAGCTCTCTGCCTCCTCTCGCTCTGCGTCAGCTATGGTCGCCCGTGGTGAGGAGGAGCTCCCGCGTAGTACGCCTCGATCATTCCCCAGGTGGGCACTGAAGCGCCTGAATAAGGAGCTCCTGGTGGAGGCGGCGGACCGGCTGCACGCCGACTGCCGTCAAAAGCAAGAGGCGTTGCGGCTGGCCATCGGTGAGGCCAAATCTCAGGGCATGCAGACGCTCCTGGAGACGCTCGATCAGGATCCCTGGGGGCGCCCATACAAAACTGTCCGCAAGAAATTGCGGCCGTGGGCTCCCCCGATGACCGAGCGACTCCAGCCTCGGCAGCTGCGGGNCTCGATCATTCCCCAGGTGGGCACTGAAGCGCCTGAATAAGGAGCTCCTGGTGGAGGCGGCTGCAGTGGCTGCGTGGGCACCCGTGCCCGCGAGCCCTGTGGATGTGGAGTCGGAGGCTGACTGGTTCCGGGGAACGATGTGTCGGACTTGCGATGCAGCGATGCCCCGGGTAGGTGGCCACGCTCCGCGTGGCGGTGCGTACTGGTGGTCACCCAATATCGCGCAACTCCGTGAGGAGTGCGTGCGGGCGCGCCGCCGGAGCGCTCGCCACCGCCGCCGCCGTCTTCGCGATGACGACTTTGCGGAGGCGGCGGACCGGCTGCACGCCGACTGCCGTCAAAAGCAAGAGGCGTTGCGGCTGGCCATCGGTGAGGCCAAATCTCAGGGCATGCAGACGCTCCTGGAGACGCTCGATCAGGATCCCTGGGGGCGCCCATACAAAACTGTCCGCAAGAAATTGCGGCCGTGGGCTCCCCCGATGACCGAGCGACTCCAGCCTCGGCAGCTGCGGGAAATAGTTTCTGCGCTGTTCCCGCAGGGAGAGGGGACTTTTCAGCCCCCTTTCATGGGCACGCCACCACGTCACGATGGTGGTGATGCCCCTGCCGACGTGCCCCCTCCGAAGATTTCGGGGGCAGAGATCCGTGCGGCCGTGTCAAAGATGAGGAGGAAGGACGCGGCCCCCGGCCCTGATGGTATTCACGGCCGGGTCTGGGATTTGGTCTTCGGTGCTCTGGGGGACCGGCTTGTGCGACTTTTCGAAGCTTGCCTTGAGTCGGGACGGTTTCCGACCCAGTGGAAGACGGGCAGACTCGTCCTTTTGAGGAAGGAGGGGCGCCCGGCGGACTCACCCGCGGGGTACCGCCCCATTGTGTTGCTGGACGAGGCGGGAAAATTGTTGGAGCGAGTTGTCG